TAATCCTGCATAATCTCAATTTTCAGCATTGCCACTGAATGTGAAGAGTATGTCTGCTAAGGTTTTTTCTCATACACTCAATGGTTTTGACTCCAGGTCACAGCTCGCTTCCCATTATACTGTATGTGCACTCCCTTCTTCATTTACCTTTGTCATTCCACAGAAAACAATATTAATTCTGCTAAATCTCAATTTTAAACATCATCAGTGAACTTGGAGAGTATGCCTGCTAAGGATTTATGTGATATGTCTAACGGTTCTGTCTCCGGGTCACATTTTGCTCATCATTATATATTCTATGGGCATTCCTTTGTGTCACTCTATAGAAATCAGCTATAATCCCAAATAATTTCAATTTTACAATCTGCTACTCTACTTGGGGAACACCCGTGGTAAGTGGTAAATTGCTATATTTCTCAGATTTGCCTGAAAATTAGTTTATATTTTGCTTCCCATTTTACTTTTTGGGCTTTCCCTTCTGTCATTCACATTTGTCATTACAGAGAAAACAATGATAATGCCGCTTAGTCTCATTTTTAAACATCACCACTGAACTTAGACAGTAAATCTGCTAAGGATTTATTTAATATGCCTAAAGGGTCTGATGTCAAATCGCATATTGCTTCCCATTATACTTTACGGGCATTCCATAGAAAAGAGCTACAATCCCTAATTATTTTAACCTTACAATCTGCTACTACTAATTTCTGTTTCTCAGATTTGCCTGTAAATTAGTTTATTTTTAGTTTTCCATTATTCTCTATGGGCATTACCTTCTGTTCAATTGTTCTCTATGGGCATTCCCTTCTTGTCCATTATTCTCTATGGGCATTCCCTTCTTGTCCATTATTCTCTATGGGCATTCCCTTCTTGTCCATTATTCTCTATGGGCATTCCCTTCTTGTCCATTATTCTCTATGGGCATTCCCTTCTGTTCCATTATTCTCTATGGGCATTCCCTTCTGTTCCATTATTCTCTATGGGCATTCCCTTCTTGTCCATTATTCTCTATGGGCATTCCCTTCTTGTCCATTATTCTCTATGGGCATTCCCTTCTGGTCCATTATTCTCTATGGGCATTCCCTTCTGTTCCATTATTCTCTATGGGCATTCCCTTCTGTTCCATTATTCTCTATGAGCATTCCCTTCGTGTCCATTATTCTCTATGGGCCTTCCCTTCTGTTCCATTATTCTCTATGGGCATTCCCTTCTGTTCCATTATTCTCTATGGGCATTCCCTTCGTGTCCATTATTCTCTATGGGCATTCCCTTCTGTTCCATTATTCTCTATGGGCCTTCCCTTCTGTTCCATTATTCTCTATGGGCATTCCCTTCTGTTCCATTATTCTCTATGGGCATTCCCTTCTGTTCCATTATTCTCTATGGGCATTCCCTTCTGTTCCATTATTCTCTATGGGCATTCCCTTCTGTTCCATTATTCTCTATGGACATTCCCTTCTGTTCCATTATTCTCTATGGGCCTTCCACTGCCCTGTTAAAGTGTATGGGCATTCCATTCTATCATTCATTTTAGTATGTCCCCAACATAAATACCACTTACCTTCCAGAGGATTTACCCCCCTTCCTGAGCAGGCCATTTTTTGCGATACGGCACTGCGTTACTTTAACTGACAATTACGCAATCATGCAACGCTGTACCCAAGTGAAATTTGCATCTTTTTTTCCCCACTAATAGAGCTTTCTTTTTTTGGTATTTGATCGCCTGTGCATTTTGGGGGTTTTTTTTTTGCGCTATAAACAAAAAAGACTGACAATTTTGAGAAAAAAAAACAATATATTTTTGACTTTTTGCTAATAAACATGTCCAGTAAAAAATTTTAAAAAAATCAAATGTCGTCATAAATTTCGGCCAAAGTGTATTCTGCTACATGTCTTTGCTAAAAACAAATCCCAATACGTGTAAATTAATTGGTTTACATGAAAGTTACAGCGTTTACAAATGGCGGTATATATACTAGAATTTTTTTTATTTTTGTTTTACTAGTAATGGCGGCGATCAGCGACTTATAGCGGGACTGTGGCGGGCATTCTGACACTGGGGGGAATTGACTTGGTGTCAATGACATCCCCAGTGACACCAATACAGTGATCAGTGCTAATAAAAAGGCCTGACACTGTACTAATGGCACTGAGCAGGAAGGGGTTAACATCTGGGGCGATAAAAGGGTTAACTGTGTGAGTGCTTTTCCACTGTAAGCACACTGCTTTGTATGGCTCTGCTTCACAGAGCCATACAAAGCAGTGTGAAGGATTTGACGGGAGAGATCTGTGTTGTTTATGCATAGGTCACTACCCCATTGGAAATACTTGGCGATCACCAGGTATTGGTGAGTAATCACCGACCGGGACCTGCTGATTGACAGCCGAGACTGCAAACAAAGGTGAGGGCGCGCACCCATTTTGCGCACCCATGCCACCCTGTAGCAGTATTTCTGCTATAGGGTGGTGGGGAATTGGTTAATAATGCACCCTAACACACCTAATACCCGTCTTGTCCTCCTGCAACTGCTGAATGGAGGATTCTCCTTTCCCTCCTGCCAGCATTTAGTGGCTGCAGCACGGAAATGTTCATTGTATTCTTCAAATTAAACAATTGTAAATTCTGAATCATTTCCTTTCATTGCAGCCCATGGCCGGTTACCAACTCACATAATTGGCCCTCACTATTCAAAAGGTTGTGCACCCCCCTGTCCTACAGAGTCAGGCTCTCTGTATGGTCCTACAACTTCCCAATATCTGACTAGTACAACAACCAGCACAACATACATGTCCTCTCCCCTGACTCTGCTTACGTCCGCTCCTCTCCTTCCCCGACGTAACGTTACCCTCAGAGACAGCAGGCTCTTCCTGTCACGTGGTATTCCGCGACTCCTCCCACGGCCACCAGGTGGAGCGCGTGCTAGGCTCTGCTCTCCTCAAGTAACAGCTTCAAATAACACAGAGGGCGCTCCCTGTCACATGGTATTCCGCGACTCCTCCTCCCTACACAGACACTAGAGCGCTTCGTGGGCGGACCCCGAGGATGGAAACAGCCGACGGCGCGGCGCTCCGTGTCACGTGGTATTCCGCGAGTCCCTCCCCCTCTAGCGGATGCAGAGTAACTGTTGGCAGAGCGGTTAGTAGCCGGCTGGTGGAAGGAGCGACCATGGAGGAGACACCGGGAGCAGCTAGAGGTACCACAATCGGGGTTACTAGTGATCACCCCTGTGACAGTGTGCCCCTGCTGGTGGAATGCTGTGTATGCTAGCACCACCTATATTTTCTTCTTACAATGGGAGGAGGACAACGCCTGGACAGCTGGGGGCAGGGCCGGACTGACCATTTGGAAACTCAGGCACTGCCCAGGGTCAGTAAGGGGGCCCATGAGATGCCCCTGGTACCTATTTCATAGGCTTTTTTGAGTTTGGGCAAGGACACAGGGGCCCCATGATCCCCTATTGTCCGGGGGCCCCATGAGTTGTCAGTCCGCCCCTGGCTAGGGGACATCAGAGGTCTCCCTGGGCTGTGGCTGCATTGCACTCAATGGGAGGAATGCATATATTTCTGGTGACTTTTAATATTCCAAGACGAGAATAACTCAAGGTGACGATGCAAGGACCCCAGTCCTGTAGCGGTCACAACTAGGGACATGAATCTGTCCGCGTCTGCAGTGGGAGAGGAGCGTCCACACTGCGTTCATCCCCCCTTCCCTGGTCACCTCACCCATCAAGTTCTGTACTGGGGTGGTGGGAGCCTGAGGGAGAACTGAGAGCCTAGTTCATCACCCCTTCACCTTGGATAGCCAGCCAGCCAGCCGCAGTGTACAGACCCAAAGTGGCTATTCAGTTCAATAGCGATTCAAATCCATCCGCTGACATGTGCTGTCAATCAAATGAAAAGCAGATCTGCTGGGGAACTAGTCCGTCTCCCATCAAGCTCCGCCTACACAGTGACAGGTCATTTCCCGAATGTGAGCATTGCCCAGGGATGTGCAAATCATATCGCCCGACGCCCAGGACATGCAGTGCTGGGCGACAGGCAGGTGGTTTTCCTTTACATTTAGCCCAGCTGTGGGCAAGGAGTAGGGTTTACTTTATGTGGTGCGATTTTCAGGTCAGTTTTCAGGGTGATTTTCAAAGGTAGTTGTTCATATGCGATGTAAATGTCCTCTATTCACGTCTATGCAAAACTGACTATGAATCGCATTCTATGTGAGCAGTTATCTCAGAATGCCACTCTACCCTATGCTATGCGAGTTTGGAACGCACAGCACCAAACTTGCACAGGACCCTTTTTTAAACATCTTTACTACAATGGCAAAACGTAGGTTCAGGTGCCATTATTTTTTGTGGCACCTAAAATGAGGCAAAAACTGCACCACGTGAAGCTTGACGCCCAAAAAGGAGCAGGCGCTTCTTTTAAGCGACAAGCTTCATGCAGTGCGATTTGCCACGTGATAATCATGGCAAAACCGAAATGCGTTTTAGGTGCCATTGAGAATAATGGCACCTGAACCTACATTTTGCAAGTGTAGTTATGTATTTATTTTTAATGAGGACAAGTAGACTGGGACCCAATTTAGTCCCGCTGACAAGTATTTTTTTTTTTTTTTTAAATTCCACACCCCTGATTGCCTTATGTGGCTGATGACATCATCTGTATCTCCGTTGACATTTAGCTTTTGGCTGGAGAATCCCCTAACCGACAGCTTTTTATTTATTTATAAGCACATAGCACTTTTGATTTATTTGTTTTGTGGATATTAGAGCGCGGTTAATATTTAAATTAATTTCTTAAAAATGCACATCAGAAGAGAGTGGGCTTATTAACCAGTGATCTAGTACTTATACCTTCATAATATACCTCAGTGGCTCGCAACCTAGTTTGTTTGTAATAAGTCCTCCCATTCTAACTGTGCATGCGCGGCTCCGGGAGCGTGCAGCGCGGTGATTGGCGGTGCGCTGTGTCCCTTGGACACAGCGGATCACCAATCCACGGAAAGAGCCAAAGATGTCGGCTCGATCATGTGATCAGCTGTGTCAAATCACAGCTGATCTCATGTAAATAGGGAAATACCGGTTATCAGCATTTCTTTCCTCACGAGCTGTCACGCTGACAGCTCAAGAGCAGAGGAGAGTCGGTAATTGGCATCCCTCAGAGGGGACATGTACACTGATCATCAGGGCACTGATGATCAGTGTGCCCTGATGATCTGTGTAGCCCCAGCAGTGCCACCTGTCAGTATCAATCAGTGCCAGCTGTCAGGGCTCATCCATGCCACCTGCCAGTGCCACATCAATGCCACATTTCAGTGCCCATCTGAGCTGCCTTTCAGTGTCACCCATCTGTGCCTGTCAGTGCCACCTATCAATGCCAGTAAGTGGTGCCAGTCAGTGCTGCCTATCAGTGTGCATCAGTGCCCGTAAGTGCTGCCTACCAGTGCCGCCTATCAGTGCCAGTCAGTGCCGCCTATCAGTGCCAGTCAGTGCCCCCTATCAGTACCATATGAGTGCTGCCTTTCAGTGCCCATCAGTGATGCCTGTCAATGCTCATCAGTGCCTCATCAGTGTCCATCAGTGCAGCCTATCAGTGCCCATCACTGCAGCCTCATAAGCGCACATCAGCAAAGGAGAAAAATCACTTATTTACAAAATTTTATAACAAAAACTAAGAAAAAACTTTTTTTTTTCAAAATTTTCAGTGGTTTTTGGTTTGTTTAAGAAAAAATAAAAAAACCCAGAGGTGATTAAATACCACCAAAATAAAGCTCTATCTGTCACAAAAAAATGATAAAAATTTCATATGGGTACAGTGTTGCATGACCGCGCAATTGTCATTCAAAGTGCAACAGCACTGAAAGCTGAAAATTGGCCTGGGCAGGAAGGGGGTATAAGTGCCCTGTAGGCTAGTGGTTAATAATGTGCTAGTATGCAATGTATACTATCACATTATGCCATTACCTTGCAGGGATGTTTTGTTTTTATCTGCGGTTTAATATCGCTTTAAGAAAACAACTTGGCTCTCTCTTGAGAATGCTGCACACACCATTGGTATTGGATTATCAGGGGGAAACCAGTTAGCAATGGACATCTTTTTCATACCCGTCTGATTGCTAATTTCTTCTTTACCTAAAGCTAAGAAATGCAGTTTTTGGACACGTCGGCAGGACAGGTACATTGAATTCATGTATGGAACCAGAGAACATTCTTCACTTCCATTTCCATATACTTTCAGCTTTGTAGTAAACAGAATTTGAAATATTTATGGGATAATGTCTTTACATACTTTCTAACAAATTCTTTTTTATCTACAGAGGAAGTCTTACAAATTGTGCAGGAGTTTAACAGAAGCTCTGCTGTCACCTTGGAGGTATATATTTTATGTCCTGATCTAATTTAGAGCAGAACTCCATCCTACCTGACTCTCTACAACTATTTGGGACATTGTAAAGATGAGCTCTTTTACCCACTAGGTCTTTACAGTTATCTAGGCAGCAGCATAGCTGTGAACTATTGCTTGGCTTTTCAGCTGAGATTCCTGTGTATCAGCACAAGTGAATTCTCCAAACATTGTTATGGAGAATTTAAAGTGGAACTAAACCCTCCTATCCTTTACAGCCAAGGAAGCTGCCATCTTAGCCTCTGTTTGATCAGCAGTTGCCATGGTGCTGTACACGTGGTCAGTTATGACACCAGCCATTTGATGGCTTGACAGTTCGGCCGACAGCACAAGCAACCGTGACACAGCATGCCTTGAATGTAACTGTTTTGGAAAATAGTGAAATTGATGGGTTTAGTTACACTTTGACTTAAACCATAACAATTACTATCTCTTATTTTTGCTCCTTTTTGGCCTGATAAAATTTCCAATGAGAGTGTTTTGTTATATCTGTTTCATAAAATACTTTTTGATATTGCCAGAAATTTTGTGAGCTAAAAACTTTCTTTGCTCTCTGTCTGAGCTCAGGGAGGCTACTTTTACCGCGCTTTCTGAGCGTTTTTAAAGGACACGTGACTTAAAAACTGCACCAAAAACGCTTCTCAGAGGCGTTTTCCATTGATTTCAATGGGAAGAGGTGTTTTTGGGGTGTTTTTAACTCACCAAACATGTCCCAAAGATGCTGCATGCAGGAGTTTTTACACCGCACCCCAGGCGCAATGCCTCAGTGTGAAAACATACATAGGTATACATTCACATACATCGGGAAGCTTTTTTCTTGAGCTTTTCAGGACCTTTTTTTAATGCAAAAATGCTTCAAAAACTCCTCAGTGTGAAAGTAGCCTTATGGGAATGAAGAGAGATCTATGTTCTTTGAAGGCCATCAGGAATTAAGTAATCAGATCAACAGTTATTTTTCTGTATTTGCAACATGTTTGCAGGGATAAATGCTCTTCATCCCTCTAATGTATTCTCTATTGGAGTGTTTGGAGAATTTTCTTGAACTAGTGACTCAAGATTGCACAGTAGCAGTAGCTGGAGTCACAGCTTAGAAGACCAGGACGTTATACTGATCCTACCTATGCCCCAGGATATATATATATATATATATATATATATATATATATATATATATATATATATATACATACATACATACATACATACATACATACATACATACATACATACATACATACTAGGGATGCACTGAAATTTCGGTGGCCGAAATGTTTTGGCTGAAATACCCTTTGAAATACCCAAAATGAAAAAAAGCACCGATACAGGTGCCGAAAAAAACCCACCCCTTGGCGCCATCTCCGCTGCCGCCACCAGTCACCGCTCGGTAGTTCTCAGCCTTACCTGAGAAACCATCGAACAATCCCAGCACTGGGCACAGAGATGAATGAAGGAAAGATGGCCTCCACTCATGTCTATGCCCTTGGGGACCGGAGCGATGTCACTTTCGGTTCCGGCCTTTTTTTTTTTTTTAAAAGCACTAGATCACTGCTTTTTTTCGATCCAATGCTTTACATTGCAGAGGAGAGATGTGGGTCTTATTGACCCCATATCTCTCCATAAAGAGGACCTGTCACTGATTATTTCTATCACAAGGGATTCATGCATTTCTTGTGATTAAGCATAAAAGTGATTAAAAAATTTTTTAAAGGGACAGTGCAAAAAAAAAAATGAAATACATTTTTTTTAAAAATGTTTAAAGTGCCCCTGTCCCCCCGTGCTCGCATGTAGTGGTGAACACATACGTAGGCCATGCCCACATATGTAAATGGTGTTCAAACCACACATGTGAGGTATCGCCATGAATGTCAGCAAAAGCAATAATTCTCGCACTAGTCCTCCCCTGTAACTTTTACACTGCTAACCTGTAGAAATTTGTAAAGCATCACCTATGGAGATTTTTAAGTACCGCAGTTTCATGCTCATTCCACGAGCGTGCACAATTTTAAAGCGTGACATGTTGGGTATCTCTTTACTCACCGTAACATCTTCTTTCATATTTTACAAAAAAATTGGGGTATATATTGTTTTTTTTAATCAAGGTGTATTTTTTTCCAAAAAATATATATTCATTTTTAAAAACAGCGCATTTTGGTTTTCGTTTTCGTTTTGGTGCATAATGGTTGAAGACAGCGGAGATCCTTCCACCTTATTACAGAATGTTCCTGGAAGAAGCACTGTATTGCCGTCAGTATTCCTGTTCTACAGGATTATACTACATATGAACCACGTAGCATCTACACCAGACATTAGCATCCTATTTTGGAATTTACATGGTGAAATTGTCTGATATATCTGGACCAATATTTTGGGCTTCAGGATACACATGCATTGTAGGTTATGCCAGATGGTCCAGTTGTGGTGCTCATTTTGTACATACTGCCTTGAATACGATTTATTATCTGTTAACATGGAATCACTATTGATTTGTATATCATAGAAGGTTGGTGCTGTAGCTTGGATCAGAGTTGTGGATGTTTTTTATGTTAGTATTTTAGGGGGTGGCAAACAGTGAACAGTTTGTAAGGTGGATGAGTCTAGCAGCAGCATTATGGGGAATGAGCTCAATTTTGGAAAGATTGAGTTTGTTGAAGATGTACTACATTGTAGGGATGCACTGATGTATCGGCTACCAAAAAGTATCGGACAAAAACAGAGTTATCCGCATTTTGCTGATAGAAAAAAGGTGCCAATAATGGCATGCAGCGTCCCATAGAATTCATTGCAAAATTGCATCTCATTGACTTCAATGCATAAATGCCCCTAGTGACTTCAATGCAAAATCGCCTCCCGTAGACTTCAATGCAAAATTGCCTCCCATTGATGTCAATGCAAATTAGCCTCCCATTGACTTCAATGCAAAATCACGTCCCATTGACTTTAATGCAAAAACGCCAGCCACAGTAATTACATTTAAAAAAAAATTTTTAAAACTATTTTTGGTTTTTGGCAAATGCATCCTGAATTTTTGGTTTCAGCGCCGGAATTTTCACTTCGGTGCACCACTACTGGACAAACTGGAGAGTGCAAAATCTGGGGCAGCTCTGCATAGAAACCAATCAGCTTCCAGGTTTTTTGTCAAAGCTCAAATGAACAAGCTGAAGTGAGATGTTGGTTCGCTACCATGCACAGCTGCACCAGATTCTGAGTGCTCCAGTTTTAGTAAATCTCAACATAGTTTTGTCTCAGAAACAAACTGGCTTCATGACAATATAGACCTTAAGTACATTGTTTAAATTTTGGCGTGTCAGTGAATACCCACCAAGACATCACTTTACAGAATTGTTCAGATTTATCATTATTGATAATTAAACATTGGTTTAACATCACCATATAGTATTCTACAATAATATCAATCATTTTTTAAACTGAATGTTTCAGATTAAGTCACAAATTGCTGATATTTTGAATCAAAGTATCAGTGAAATTGAACAATTTCGAAGTCGCCTTTTAACAGTTCAAATCACCAGTGGGATACAAGAAGAAAATGAGGTATGTCAAGTTACCAAAATAATTGATATATCATTACATTTTTGTAAAGTTTTGCATGTAAAGCTTTTAAACAGTTATCAATCAAAAAAGAGAAGTATTCCTCAGCTCAAAGCCCATCTTCGAGCAAAGAAAAAAAGCTTCCTTGAAGTGGTGCTGTCCCTAAACTACAAAGGTTTAGATCAGGGGTCCTCAAACTACGACCCAGCGAGCGGCAGCCTGGAAGCCCCTGATTTCACCTGCTGCAGTCAGAGGAGCAACAGGAGAGGAGGAGAGCACACCAGGTACAGTGCATTATGGTATCCAGTGTATCAATGTACAGTGCATTGCAGTGTCCAGTATGTTAGTATACAGTGCATTGCAGTGTCCAGTGAATCAGTGTACAGTGCATTGCAGTGTCCAGTGCGTTAGTATACAGTGCATTGCAGTGTACAGTGCATTGCGGTGTCCAGTGCATTAGTATACAGTGCATTGCGGTGTCCAGTATGTTAATGTACAGTGTATTGCTTTACAGTGTACAGTGCATTTTGATGTCCAGTGCGTTACAGAGTACAGTGCATTTTGATGTCCAGTGCATCACAGTGTACAGTGCATTTTAAATATTGTATTGGTT